GTGGTACCCTCTGAAAGCTTCGAGGAACGACATCAACTCACACCCCGCCGTCTCGTCCACCAGCTGATCAATGTTGGGGAGAGGGAACGGGTCCATGGGGCACGCCTTGTTCAGGTCAGTGTAGTCAACACACATTCTGAACGTCGGCGGTTTTTGTGCGAGGACGACGTTGGCCAACCATGTCGGGTACTTCACCTCTTTGATGTGCCTGATTGAGAGGAGCATGGCGACCTCCCCTTTGACGAAGTCCCGCCTGTCGGCGGACAAGTAGCGCCGCTTCTGTTTGACAGGCGCAGAGGCCGGATCGACGGTCAGCCGGTGAGTGATCACCTGGCGGCTGATGCCTGGCATGTCGTCCGGGCCCCACGGGAAGACAACGGCATATGACCGTAGGACGAGGAGGATGGCGTCTCGTTGGTCCTGGGGGAGTTGCTTTCCGACCCTGAGAACCCGCTCCGGCCGGGAGGTATCCAGAGGGATTTCCTCGACCTCCTCGGCCGGCTCCGCATGTGGCCTCTCCTCGTCCATGGCGACGGCGGCCGTAATGGTGTCTATCCTCTGTCCTTCCCTTTCGGCCGGCCTCGTTAGCTTGAGGTAGCAAGCTCTGGCTATCCTCTGATTTCCTCTGGCGTAGCCGATGCCGTCATTGGTGGGGAACTTCAAACATAAGTGCTTCATGGAGATGATGGCCTCCAAGTCCTCCAGCGTTGGCCGGCCCAAGATCAGGTTGTGGGCGCACTGGAGGTTGACCACCATGAACTCCATGTCAATTTTGGCGTGGTGGGGGCCGTCACCGATTTCCACGGGGAGGACTATCGTGCCCTCGGCGTCGATAGAGTCCCCGGTGAAGCCGGATAACGGGGTCTTGATCGGCTTCAGCAAAGCTCTGTCCAGCTTCAGCTGCTTGAAGGTGTCCAGGTACATCACATTGACGGAGCTCCCCGTATCGATGTAAGTACGGTGGATGATGGAGTCACCGATCTCACATCGGATGACGAGGGCGTCCCTGTGTGACTCCGTACCTGGAGGCAGATCCTTGTCGGTGAAGGTGATCGCCTCCGTTCGCTGCTTCTTCGGCTGGGGGGGAACGTGGGACACCTCCCCAATGTAAAGGGACTGGGCCCATTTCTTTCTCTGAGTGGCGGAGTCCCCCCCCCCTCCCCCCGTGTTCCCACCTACGATGAGGTGGATGTGATTCTTCTTTGGCGGAGGCTCCTCGAAGTCCTCGTCGTCGCTGAGCCTACCAATCTCGCACTTCTTCGCAGAGCGTTCGCCCCCATGTCTGCCGGTGTTTACCCAAGTGTTTTTTCGTGGGCCACCTTTGACAAACTGGGAGAGTTCCCCCTGGCGAATAAGGCGCTCGATGGCCTTCTTCAATGTGATGCAATCGTCGGTGTTGTGCGACGAGTTCTTGTGGAACCGGCAGTACGTGCCGCCCTGCTGGATGGCAAGGATCTCCTCGGCCGGCCGAGGAGCCTGCTCGATGAGGCCGTGCTTCTCGGCATAATCGAGGATGGTGCCAACCAGGTGGGTGAGGGTTACCCCCGGCCGTTCCAGCCTCGGCCGCCAGTGGCGGTCTTTCTTACTCTGTCCACCAGATCCGTGGCGGCCCTGGGCACCCTGGCCGGCCGGGGACGGACCCGGGGCCGGCGAAGGATTTGTCTTTTTGGGGGGATGGCCCCCCTCTCTCTTGTGATTGTGGAGCTCGTCGGCGTCGGCATACAGGCCTCCGCGTTGGAGCGCCTTGGCGTACGACCTCGGGGGGTCAGTGATGAGGCTCCTGGCGTACGGGGAGCTGCGGAGGGATCCCTGGTACAAGGCGAGGAGGGTGCGCTCATCGGCCCCCTCGACCTCCTCGGTCTCCCTCGTCCACCGATCGATGAATGACCGGAGGGACTCTTCGTGCTGCTGCTTGACGGAGAGGAGGTGGGTGAAATACTTCTTCGCGCGCTTCCTCCCGGCAAAGTGAGTGAGGAAGCGCTGGGCGAGATCCTGCCATGAGTCAATGCTTCCTTCTGGCAGTCCGTTGAACACTTCGTACGCTGGCCCCTCGAGAGTAGAGAGGAACCAACGGCAGAGGTATTCGTCGGACGCGTTCACCATCAGCATGTTGTTTTGATAACGGCTGAAGTGCTCCTGGGGGTCTGATCGGCCATCGTAGGACTTGATGGCGTTCCCCCTGTACTTCTCAGGGATGGGGGCCGAGAGGACCCTGTTGGTGAAAGGGGTCCTCGTCCTGATCTGGATGATGGGGTCACCCCGCCCTTCGGCCAGCTCCCTCTCCAGGGCGCTAACTTTGTTCATGAGCGCGTTGAGGCCGGGGTCGTTGGAGGCGCCGGCCGTAGGGATGTTGGCCGACTGCTTGGCCTCCATCTGAGCCAGCCTCCTCTCCAGCTGGGCGATGACCTCATCCCGGGGGTCCCTGTCGGCCGCAGCGGCGCCCGGCTGGTTCCTCAGGCGCTCGTTGTGAGCCACGTTGATCTGGTGACGCACGTCATCCTCGTGCAACTTCCCCTTGCCCTTGTCCGGGCGGGGCTGGTCCGCTGTCCGGGACACAGACCCCAAGCTTTCCCTTGGCGAGCCAGGACGAAGATCACCAATCCGTCCCGCCATCCTCTCCGAAACCGGACGACGGCGTGTGTCACCTAGCCTATTGAAGGCAGAGGCTTTTCCACGCGCTGGGGTCTGCCCGGGCCGAAGAGGGGAAGCAGGGTGGGAGTGGGACGACGCCGTGTCCTGGGCCACAACCCCCTCATTGTTGCCTATCTGGACGGCCAACGGTTGGTGCTGAGGAGGTTGAGTGACGTTCCCCCCGGTCCTTGGCAAGAGTGCGCTGAGGACGGTGGGGTTCTGAGCCAAGCTGGCGATGATAGCCGATAGTGCGGCCTGGACCTGAGGATCTACGGATGGAGAGGCCGCGGCCATAGGCTGGGCCGGGGCGTGGTCCGCTTTCTCAGCTCGTTTCTTTTCCAGGCCGAGGCGGGCGTCGGGGACTCCGCCGTTGAGTTGGTTGCGGAGGTCCGTCGTGAGGTTGAAGGCCTCCTGGAAGAGGTCCCCTCCGCCGACCTGGTCGGCCGTGGCGTCCTCATCGTGCTCCCTGGGCTCTTGGTCCTCAGGGATGACTTTGCTGACGAGGTTGCGGTTTGACTTAGTTCTCCCCATGATCAGTGGTTAGCTGTGCTTGGTAGCGACGAAGGGTGCTAACTTGATTGTTCTAGCTCTCAACGAGAGCACCAAATGATCGAGTATATCTAGAGAGAAGTGAGAGCTAGAGAGAGAAGTGCAATAATATGCTTCAATAGAATGATTTTGTAACCCCTATAACTACTCCCAAGGGGAGTATTTATAGAGAAAATTAGGGTTGGGCTCCCAAGCCTTGGGCTTGGGAGGCCCATTTACAACTGGACCGCTACTGGGCCGAATACAAAGCCTCTAATGGGCTGTACAAATGAGTAAGTATAGAATCCGATTCTGGGAGGTCTTCGTGGCCGACGAGGGCGTGGCCGACGAGGGCACGGCCGACGAGGGCGCGGCCGACGAGGGCACCCGAGTCCCTTAATCTCAGGACCGTAATCTGAGTTGACCCCTTTTCGGCCGACGGGGGCGTCTTGGCCGACGAGGGCGCCACTCTGTTGTCTTGTGCTCTGTTCTTCCGAGTATGTGGGTCCTGGGGCTCAGACCCATATACTCCATCAGTGGTCATTACACCACGATGGCGGATACAGATACGATACCCTCACTTCTAATCTGGCTGAGGTTTTCAACAATGTGATGAAAAATGCCAGATATTTGCCCATCACCGCTTTGGTCCAGGTTTCCTTTTTCCGCGTTAATGCTTATTTTGTTAATAGGCGTGAAAGCAGTAAAGGAAGAGTGACTGAAGGCCACAACTACTCTCCACACATAACGGATTTGATTGAGAAGAATAGAGAGAAGGTGAAACATCACACTGTTACTCCATATGATATAGGCCGAGGGATATACCAAGTGGATTATCAGCCTAGTTCCTTGGTTTTGCATCTGACGGTAAGTATATTACTAATTACTAAAGTAAGTCACTTTCTTTATTTAACACTTTTATTTATTTCTAACTAATTGTAATTGTGTTTCATATTTGAGACACTAGCTCTACAACGTATACATCAGCGGGCTACTGCCACAGTGAGTGATACACATGTTGTGGACATGTACGGTCATGCTTTGACGGGCATCGCCTCGTTGTGTTCAGATGTGTTGGGGCGAGTCGACTACGGTCATCTTATACATATGCCCCCATCTCAGGATATGCCATCGACATCTAGTGCAGCGGCAACTTCATCATCTCAGACTCAGCATGAGAGAGTGGTTCTTCAACCACGCCAGCGGCGTAGGCGTAGGCAGCAACAACAACATCTCCATGACCAAGATGATCAAGAAGACCATGAGAACTTGTAGTTTATCTTTTGTATTGGAGTTTTTCTTGTACACTAGATGTTGTAGGAAGAATTGACTTTATTTTACGTATCTCCACGTGTAAACTATTTTATGATGTGTTGATGTGTTCGATTATGAATATTAGATGACTACTGTGTTATGAATATTGGATTATTGTACTGTGTTTTACTGGTTATGAATCTACTAGTTTGTATCTTATTTGTGAAGGGTATGTATGCGGTGTTTTGTATGTTGTTGAGAGAAGGTGTTATGTATGTGTTTGTGAGCAGGTGTGTTGTATGTTTTGTAATGTGTTGTATCTGGTTCGTAACCCCTAAATAGAAGAAAGAGGATCTTGTGTATAGGAAATTTATAGTTAGGAGTAAGTCGTCAAACGGTTGGGTGAGTCGGGCGACTTACCCCAACCATGATTAAACCTAATCGTAGATAAGTAAATACTTTTAACCCATCATTATTTTCGTAATTAATTAATTAATTAACATTAATTCGAAAAAAAACTCTAAGATGTGTATCGAAAAAAAGAGTTTCAATCTTCGGCATGTTTTTTTTTAAATTGAAAAATCTCATTTAAATTCACCCCACCCTTGACATTTTGTAAACCCCGTGACTGAAGCACTCTGTTCTTCAAGGTACGCGTCTGAACTCTTGCTGGAACAAAAACTCGGAAACTTTCCCAGTCATTCACTGATTGACTGCCCAACGCAGTTTGTCTTGATTTATTGAAATTCCATTTCAATGTAATCAAGACTTTCTTTGGTTTCTCCATGACTGTGATCCTCCTTACAATTGAAGCTATGGATATTTTCATTCTTGACTAGGATAGGAAGGACCAGCATGTGATTTTCATCTCCTTTGCTGTTTTTCTACTTTTGATTCTCTTATTTGTTTTGTTTTTTATAATCTCCGATTTGAAAAAGATGTCTTTGAAGTACCAGACCGGCTTATAACAGGTGAAACCTGTTCTGAAGAACAAGGCCTCTCATCAATTGAGATCTCAATATACCTGGACTTAAGTCCCACCTCATGTGTGCACTAGTTTTTATGTAGAGTTTTATACTTTTCTGCATATATATGAATTACTGAATTTGTTTATTCTTTATATGATTTTGTAATTACAAAAAAAAAAACAAATTTACTATTTGTATGAACTGATTAACTATGTGATTGTCAATTAGTTTAGTATTGATTTGTTGTAATAAGAAATTCGCTTCAGTTTAACAACCAGCAAGAACTAAGAAATTTGTAGGTTTATTATTGACTCAGTAATATTTTTACATAAAAATAATTACTAGTAATTCATAAAAATACACACAACTAAGTATTGATTTATATTTTAGATAGATGAAAAACGATATATACTATAAATGTGGGGCCCTCTACTTCACTTTTGAAACAAGGTCTATCAAATACGAAGTACATTAGACGGTTCTGTAAAGTAATTCTAACTCATGTTTACGGCAGTAGGCCGGTAGCCAGCTATTATTATGATGGTTGGGCTTACACTTAGTTGTTGTGCTGACGGCGGTTGCAGCATTGGTTGTTGGCGGAAGTGATCAGCTGTAATGGGTGATTGCAGTGGGTGCTGCGGTTGGCCGTGGTGATAGGCCTAGATCATCCGTAAATTGCTAGAATATATAAAGATTTAAGAATTAGAACAATTGGTTGGGATGGGTATAGTCCACACGTGACTTACCTGTTCAGACTTGAGATGTGCTATTTGCCGCAGGAATGAAATCTTTTATAAGTATGTAATTACGTGCTTATAAGACAAAGCTCAAGTGACATGATTGCTCTAAACTTGATATGAGTGATTATATATAATGAAGAGATTCTGTAGGTTTAGTCCTGTTCTAAAGAAGAATGCACCTATAATATGAAGAGTATATGGAGATTTAGTCCTGTTCTAATTTCTAAACCATAAAGCACATATATTTTTAATATTTGGCAATTTTATTTGTTAATAACAATATCATAGAGGTGGGGATGCTCTTTGTTTTGCAACTGTTATCAGATCCAATAACAGTTTTTTACTGCAGGTTATATCATCTCACATACTCTGTATTATATCGTAAATGGATCCTCCATTCAGTGGGTTGCCAGACTCTGTAAAAACATCACGCCTGGAAGATGGATTCTTCTTTTCCAGCAGCTTTCAGCTATCTGATGATACCCCTAGCAATTGCTTTTTAGCTTCTCTGGATTTCATGAATAACCATTTGACTGCCACACCCCCTTCCAACCATTTCTCTTCTCTACCTGGAGAGTTATACTCACCAAATGCTGATGACCCTGTGGCCAAGTACCTCAACCAGATACTACTGGAGGAAAACATCAATGAGAAGCCTTGTATGTTCCATGATGCAATTGCTCTTAAAGATGCTGATGAATCCTTCTCTAGGGACCCTCCCCCTTCTAGCAATACTTCTGACCTGCCTCAGTGGACTGTTGATCCTTCTGAATCATCTGAGAGCTCAAATTGTTTTTTAAATGCGAATAATATCCAAGTGCTAAATGCTGATGACCATGGAAACATGTTTAGTGACTCGGAGGCCGTAGAGCTGTTCAAGAGAGGAATGGAAGAAGCAAATAAATTTCTCCCTACTGCTAATAATTTTTTTACTGACCTGGACATTTCACCCAATAATACTTCTAGAGGAAAGAAGCATCATCATCCGGATAACAATATGATTGAAGATGAGAGGAGTAGCAAGCAATCTGCAGTTTATGCGGAAGAGGAGTTATCGGAGGCGTTTGATGAGGTTTTGCTGTGTGATCCTAAATTTCCGAGTCGCGTGAAGGATAGTCAGCCTGAAGTAGTTGGGAACGGCATGCCACACTGTGACGGAAAAAGGCGTGCAAGGATGCAGCAAAAACAGCAGGAGGAGGAAGATACAACTGAAGCTGTAGATCTGCAGACTCTTTTAATGAGCTGTGCACAATCAGTTGCTATTAATGATCGTAAGTCTGCAAACGAACAACTAAAACAGATTTGGCTTCACTGCTCACCCAACGGTGATGCTGACCAGAGGCTAGCATATTTTTTAGCACGTGGTCTTGAGGTGCGTTTGACCGGCACGGGGACCGAGCTTTATAGATCCGGAGCCCCTAAAGGAATCACTGCTTTTGATAAGTTAAAAGCATACCAGGTTTACATGTCAATATGCCCTTTCAAGAAGATTGCAATAGACTTTGCAAATAAGATGATTTACATGGCGTCATCCAAAGCTAAAACACTACATGTCATAGATTTCGGCATTCATTATGGTTTCCAGTGGCCCATCCTTCTCCAACATCTTTCAAACAGGCCTGGTGGGCCTCCTAAACTTCGCTTTACTGGAATTGATTATCCGAAACCTGGTTTTAGGCCTTCCGAATTGATAGAAGAGACTGGACGCCGCCTGGCAAAGTATTGCGAGCGCTTTGGTGTTCCATTTGAGTACAATGCTATAGCGACTCGGAATTGGGAGACAATTAAAGTCAAAGATTTGAAGCTTGCAAGAAGAGGTGAGGAGATTGTTGCTGTGAACTGCTCATTTCGGTTTAAAGACGTTTTTGATGAGATTGAGGTGATGGGGGAGAGTCCTCGTGACGCAGTCCTAAGGCTAATCCGGAAAGTCAACCCAAGTATTTTTGTGCAAGCTGTTGTCAATGGATCATATGGTTCTCCATTTTTTGCTTCTAGGTTCCGTGACGCTCTATACCACTACACTGCATTTCTTGATATTTTTGACACTCTATTACCCCGTGATGATCCGCAGAGGCTTCAATTTGAGGATGATCACTTTGGGCGGGAGGCGTTGAATGTGATTGGATGTGAGGGCACAGAGAGGGTTGTAAGGCCTGAGACATACAAGCAGTGGCAGTGGAGGAATAGTAGAGCTGGGTTTAAGCTTCTTCCCTTGAACCGAGGACTGATGGCTGAGTTGAAAAAAAAGTTGAAGGCTGGTTACCACAAACAGTTTCTTCTTGATGAAGATGGTGACTGGATGGTACAGGGGTGGAAGGGACGGGTTCTGTGTGCTAGCTCATGTTGGGTGCCTGCAAAATAGAGGTAGCTTCTTCTATACCTATCCAAGGGACCAAGAGTTGCATATTCTTATCATCCACACGATTTGGGTCATGCACAAGGAGTGTTTCTCTTACAGACCTAATAAAAGCTATTTTACGGACTTCATCTATCTGCGGCTCCAGCCAGCCGGACACGTGAAACAGTGACTGAATCAGGAAGCTTTAACTGGTGGCTAAGTTAGGGACTTGTTTACTATGATAATCATTCTTTCCTATTATTAGGAATCTCTTCCTTGCTAGATGACATTCCTTTGTAAGGTCTATATAAGACACTGTAAGTTCATATTGAGAATATGAATATTTCGTTTTTCCGTTTTTCCACATTGACATGTGGCGGTGCCATAGGTCAGCGTCCTTGCCTAGGGTGGGGGGTGGGGGTAGATTTATTACTCAAATCATCACTGGTTCACATAATATCACTGTTTCACATAATCACATTCCCCTTCCTTCTTGCAAAGGTCTTGGACCAGATGAGGTCCAGATCCTATATGTGTCGAAAAGAATTTAGCATTAGCATCCACGATAATGGTAAACAGTATGTCAGTATGGCATAAAACCATCATACAGTATGTAATATGTACTTGAATATTTTATGTTTATCCATTAATGAAGTTCTGGACTGCTCTTCCAGTATTTTTAGTATCGTTTATTTTATTTGGTCCCGAATTAATATACGTAGTACTTAGTAGCTAATAAAGTGTAAGGCATAATTTTTGGATATTCCGCTAACTTTGTCACTTCCTCTTTTAAGTAAAGAATTTATGGTTCCTGTTAATTCTCTCCTCTGCACAAACCTCAATCATACGATTTTTACTTTATTCATCTTCGTGTCAGTCAAACTTGACAAAGTTTTAAGAGACACAGGGAATATGTTATTAAAGGGTCAAATAGGCCCCTATACATGTCTGGAATATTCAATTAGCCTTCTGAACTCAAAAAATCTTCGATTCACTCTGAACTCGCCAAAAAAGCACCGAATAGATGCCAATTGTGCATCTGACATTGCAGTTTAAGGGGTCAAATAAACCCATGAACGCGACCGAATTGTTCAATTTACTTCCTCAAACCCGTTAAAAAGTGTCAAAATTGCTATAAAAATATTACCTCCGTCCCATATTGGCTGTCTTTCTTTAATTTGACACGATTATTAATAAAGTGGTTGAAAAATAAAAGTTGTTGTTGAGATTAAAGTAGAATAAAGTGAAATGATAAGTATCACATATTTCTTGATAAAAAAGGAAACATGACATTAATTTTGGGACAACCCAAAAACGAAAGTATGACAACCAAAATGGGACAGAGAGAGTAAGAAATTACAAAATAGAAAATGCAAATATAAAATAAAATACAAGTTGATAATATAAAATATAGACATCCAGTATCAATATAAAAATTAAAAATTAAAAAATATTTTAATATTGTTAGATGTTTAATATTGTTAGATGTTTAATTGTGTAACAATTTAATGATACATGGCCTATTTCACCATTTAGCCTAATATAATAGTGTAAGGTTCTCTTACTCTTCTCAAGTATCATTATTGCAGTACTCATTAATGACAGATGCATTATTGTTGAACTCGAGACATATTAGTTAACATTTGTTATATGGGAATTAATATGTTTAATGTTGTTAGATGTTCCTTTAAATGTGTAACAATAAAAATGACAATTACTAAAGTATGAAATTTTGGAGATGTGTGATTGATCAATATATATCCTCCATTCATTCTTATATTTTGAGCTCATTCTCTAACCATATATTAAAAATGGTGCTCCCTAAGTGTCCCGAGCATCACTCTCTTGCCTAGTTAAGCCAATGCCCCCGTTGGTCCGATACATGTGACCCGCGATAAGGAAAAGAATAGCAACAACTAAATGATGGTGTGCAATATCGGTCAGCCACAGACCGCTAGTGACTGGATCTAATCCTCCACAAAACGTAATAAATTCGGACCAATTCAAGGTTCAAAATGGCCTTGGCTGGGATAAAGTTGAGCCACAAGATCTCGATTCAAGATAAATGAATGAGGAAGTGGTTATGCCAAAAACGAATAATACATCGATGTAAAGGCGAATTAATCTACTCTAAGTGTCCAACATTGATGCTTTCATTGAGAATAGAGTCGGCTCATTCTCTATTATTGAGACGATTTTGGACACTCAAAAGCGGAAGATCAATATATATATATATATATATATATATATATATATATATATATATATATATATATATATATATATATATATATTTGAGCTCCTTAACAAGTGAGATACTAATGCGAGCATGATCATGGACAAGCAAGTGGTTGCTTGTTGAAGATTAATCTCACCTCTTTTTGCAAACAATAAACTTAATTATTACTCCGTATTAATCAAACCGTAGCTCAAGGTCTGCAAGGATCTCTGCTTCTTTTGGCGAAATTCCTCCCAGCCATGGTCGAGCTCCTGCTGCCACAAACTCACCATTAGCATCCCGCACTACCCAGACAAGCTCCCGCATTTCATTAGCCCCAAGTCCCAACAACTACATCAATGTTAATCACTTATAAACTAAGATAAGAATAGGGTTGTAAATGAATCAAATAATTTGTGTTCGATTCGTGATTCGAATTCATATAAGATGATTCGAATTCGGAAAATTCAAATACAAATACAAATAAGAATATTACATTTGATTCGAGTTGTTATCAAATACAAATAAGAATATCAGTGAATTCGATTCGAATATTAATCAAATATATTCGATTAATAATAATGGTAATATTAATGTCAATATTAATAATAATAGTAGTAATAACACTATAATAACTTTTAAAAGATAGTCATGCCCTCAAAGTGTAACCCACATATACACTTTTGCATACAAATTCCAAATCTATTGGTAATAAATCAAAATATAAATACAAATACAAATCAATTTGTTTGGTTCAAACGTCTTTCAAATACAATACAAATAATTATGTATTCGATTTGAAGAATAAAATTAGAGTTACGTTGTTTGACTTTGATATATACAATTATCAACTTATTTCACACATTATAAGTATAATTTCTAATATGTGTGTGTTAGTGTTTATTTAAAAAAGTTTAGATTTATATATATTAATCATAAAATTAATTCACTTTAGTATATTGTGTACCATCTAAAAATGCATTGATCCATTAAATTTAAATTCAAAAAACACATATTAAGTCATAGCATGCATTTACAACATAAAAAATATGGAATATAAAAAAGTTATTTTAGAGTGATATTTGACTAAAATTTAACTTATGCTCAAATCGATTCGATATTCGTATATGATTCGTTAACCATTCGTATTGTTAACAAATACAAATACAAATCAAAATTAATATTCGTTTCATATTTGAATTCGAATTCGTATTCGAAAAAATTAAACAAATACAAATACAAAATCTCATTATTCGACTCGATTCGGTTCGTATACAACCCTAGATAAGAAACGACAATAATTTTAATAGAGATATAATTTGACAAAATCGAAAACATTATTAAATTAGATTTATACAAAGTTAGTACAAGTAATATATATTAATCATATAATTTTTACATTCAGTAAAATTTTATAAATAATCCGTAATTTACATATATACTACTCCCTCCGTCCCTAAATTTACTTCCAACTTTCCCTTTTCGTCCGTCCCAAAAAGAACTTCATTTTCCCTTTTTGACAAAGAATTTGTGGTTCACGACATTTCTCTCTCATCTGCACAACTCTCCACCACACAATTCTCACTTTCTTAATCACCGTGCCACTTTAATTTGGAAGAACATTTAGGGACGAAGGGAGTAAATGAAAGAAAACATTAAGATTAAACCAACAAAAGTATTCTAAACTTAGCAAAGTTAAGACAAGTTTTAAGAGGAAAATGAAAGAAAAGATTAAGCAAAGTTGAGATAAGTTTTTAGAAGCAAAATGAAACTAACAAAATATTTGCATGTCAGGAAGCCACACTGTGCATCCGTCCCCGAATACACAAATTCTTTTTATTTGGTCTAATAGGTGGAATCTCCCACTCCAAAAGCCTCTCACCTCGACCCGATAGGATGGTGGGAAAGTTAATCACGGTAACTCAGTCAGCAAAGTGTCAGTATACCCAGGGGCGGATCCAGGAATGAAGAGTGGGGTGGGCTTAGCAGGAAAAAAATTGTTATTGCAAACAGAAAGTTTAGCTTATGCTGCTTAGGGCCGTAATCGAATTGAGTTTTTTTCGAACTACGCGAATTCGAGCGTGATTTCGAATTTAATTTAGTGATCTAAGCTTAAAAAGTTTTTTTTAACTCGAACACGAGCTAGATTTTGAGTTCGAATAGTTGTTCAAGCTGAGTTCGAGCATAGTGGTATTCGGTTTGATCCGAACTCGAGTCTATCAATAACTCGTAAATTATAGAAATAAATCTTATTTATCTTAAAATTTAAACATTTTCATTGCAATTTTTTAAATATATTTGAACACTAACAAAATAGAGTTCATATATCTATTTTGTTCAAGCCGAGTTTGAGCGTAAATTAAATTAATAATCAAATAGAATTACATAACTATTAAATAAAACTAATGCACTAATAAAACTATTATAATTTTATTAATAATAATAATAATTTTAATAATAATAATAATAATAATAATAATAATAGAAATAGTATATGACCAAATAAGGATAGTTGATAAAGAGTAACTTAGTTATTTTAATGATTATAATTATGTTTAAATTTTAATGCTTATAAAAGTTACTCGGTGACTTGGGTCAAATAATAGTAATATTCATATAATAATAACAGTATTATAATAATAATATAATATTAATCATAAAATTTATGTTGTAAAATAATATTGTAACTTAGCTTGTAATATAAAGTGCTTTCATTGATGGTGTGGGTGAGTGGGTGAGATGGGATTGCATAATTTGTTCTCGGGATCATTTGTTCCCATGACTATGGGCTTTAAACAAAGTTTGGGCAGCCTTTTGCTTTTAGAGCTTCTTAGAACACTTCCTTGTAGACTTGGGGTGGGCTGAGTTTTAATTTTTGGGTGGGCTGAAAATTAAATCTCTTTCTATACTAACAAAAAAAATGGGTTGGGCTGGGCTAGAGCCCACCCTAGGCCCTACATAGATCCGCCCATGAGTATACCTTATACACGTGCGCACCAGATGTCTAACCTTATTCCAGGTTCGGTAACCCCCACAAGGCCGCTGCGTGTTTCGAACCTTGGTCACTTGGTCCAATTTTCCCACCACTCGACCAACTGAGTTACCCGTGCGGGTACATATTCTTTTCATTAACCTAACATTAGTATGTGATTCTATGACTAGTTTTTAACCTCCATTGGTATTTATCACTGTAATACTTATCAAAGCTACGCTACTGGAGCATGCACCAAGTGTACACTAATTTATGTGAAAAGAGGAAAATTTGTGTTAATATGGAATATTAAATTATAACTAGAATCTATTCGACTCTATGTGAATACCGGTAGCAATCAAAAGATATCGGTGGGGAAAAAATTACCTTCACAAAACGAAAAAAAATCATCTGTGCACAGACAATTCTACCCACATTTAAAATGACATGTATAAAAACATGTATAAATAGCATTTTTGGAGTATATCAAGCGATTTTCTCACTTGTCCGATATATCATCTTTAGTCAACTCACTTTATTTAAATCAATAATAATTAATTAATTATATATGGATTACTTTTTTGCTTACACCATGAGCGTCCTTGATTAGAGATCTAAGTTGAAATATTGTTGTCCTTTAATTTCCGTAATTCTTGACTAGAATCGATTAGTTGTATAAGAACTTTATGGACATTATAATTACTTTTGAATTGCGTGATTAACCTAACTATGAAATTTACTCTTTATTTCAAATATATTGGCTGAATTTCTGTTAGTTGTTTTAACCAAGGATGGCCAAGAATCCCGGTCCCGTTGTCCCATTAGAGTTATCCCGGAATCGTAAGGTGTTGTTGGTTCCCTTTGGGACCCGATTATTTTGTTCCGCACCGTCCTGTACGGATTTAAAATGGGAAATGTCCGAAACACTGGAATGTTATCCCAAACTATCACGTTGTCCCGTTTATAATGACTATATAGTTTTTTAGCATGTGACCAGTTTGTAGTGCTAGCTCAAATAAAAAATAAAAAATACTATGTAGTACTCCTTCCGTTCCCAAATATACTTCCCACTTTCCTTTTTGGGCTGTTCCCAAAAATACTTCCCACTTTCCCATTTTGGACAATTTGTGTGGCTCACATTCATTTTACCTTTTTCTTACACAACCACAATCATACATTTCCACTTTATTCCACTTTCTTAATAAGCGTGCCAAGTCAAACCGGGAAGAATTTTTAGGAATGGAGGGAGTATGTTTTTAGTTTTTCAAGCCCAATTTTTTAAATTAAAAAAATAATACCTGACATAAATATTTACTAACTTAGGTTTGTATCTCATTCTATATATTTGCATATGAGTATCCCACAACTAGAACACATACTTTTGAATAAATTAATTCTTTTTTTGCTTTGTTTTAAAACTTAATTTCTTCTTTTGCTAAACTTAATTAAAATCTTGTAGCTTTTAGTGTTTTTTGTAATAGATAACTTTTTATGAAAATTAGTTAAATTTTAAAATGTTAATATTTTGGTGCATGATACTTTAGAAATGCTAATATGTTAATTACAAACAATGATCTTTTTTGTTTAATACTCTTTTGTTAGTTTGAGATGTCTCAAACCATTCTGAATTATCCCAGTCCTGATTTAAATGGGACAAGACTAGGACAAATGCATGTCCCGTCCCATTATTACTAATTAGGTCGGGACCAGGATAACCCTAATCCCGGATCGTCCCGACCCGTGCCCATCCTAATTTTAACCATCCTCTATCATAAACGGATCAAAATAAAGTGTTTGATAACTTAGCAGTTCAGAATTAGTTGTTAAGACGCAAAATGAGTATTAAGAATACATATACAAAATATATGTGGATTTAACTTAGCTTTTTATTTTTAGATATGTACATCATCCTTTTTTATTGAAAATTTAGAGAAAGATTACAATGAAAAAAGGAAAGAGAACATAAAATGAAGTACAAAAGGGAAAAGGAAAGAGAAGAAAGAAAAGATAAAATTGGTTAGTCCCAATTTTTAAAATAGTATATATTATCATTTTTAACTAATATACATACACAATTTCATGTGTTTTTAGTATTAATATTTTAAATATGATTATTTTTAGTAAATTTTAAAATAATATTATAAAATAGGAATTACATTCATGAGGATATTTATTATCAGTGTTATTATGTTTTCGTAGTTACTTTTCATTTTATTTCATTAAATTAATAATATAAAAAAGCTGTTGCGAAAAGCCACTCAAAGCGGCTTTATCATATTTGGCTTTTTTTGTAACAAACAACCACATAAAAAATTAGCTTTTAACAGCTATTGTTTATTTTGGAATAAAAAAACATGTTTAAAACGAATAAATAAGGTAAGTCTGTTTAAAAAGAAAAAACTCATACTTCCCGTGTAAAACGTATATTCCGTGTATTTTACAAAAATAGAAATATGAATTGATCAATTAAATGCATAAATGATCAACAATAGTTTAAAAAGGAAAAAAACCTTCTCTCAATGATCTCGTTAGAATCCTGAAAGACTAAAACCTAAAATAGTACTAGCTTTCTGAAGTTTTCCAAACAAGCATATCAAAATTAGTATAAACTTTTACACATAAATAATAGTAGTAAGCGTAACAGTCGCACAACTTTCTCATATGTCATCTGTCATCTTGATGAAAATGATAAATTTAACTCGATTGCTATTTGATGATCATATAAAGATGGTGATATTAACTTGGTCTCATTCTATCGTTATTAGGCCTTATTTTTTTATACTACATCTGTCCCACTATGTTTGGGACAAGAGGGTGTGACACAACTAATATAAAAAAGTGGAATTGTGTGATTGTTATTGAATTGATAAAGTGTGAATAAAGTAAGAATGAATTGTAACCACCCAAATATTCCCAATTATGGTACGAGACAAATTTAATGAGACAGACGAAAAAGGTAAAACGGGACAAAGTTAGGGAGACAGATGAAGTATTATTTGCAAAATTATGTCTTGCACTTAATTACTATTTCTATTTTATCATTGGCTTATGCAATTATGAATAATTTGTTTATGCACTAATCAGATTTGCTACTTAAATATGTGTATACTTTTATTTCTTTTTATATATGTTATTTTGTGATATACATAATTTAAATGTTCAAATAAAATATCATATTTTTTACATAACTTTTGTAACAGACATTAAATATGTGTATACTTTTATTTCTTTTTATATATGTTATTTTGTGATATACATAATTTAAATGTTCAAATAAAATATCATATTTTTTACATAACTTTTACTCCCTCTGTTCCTAAATAAACTTCCAATTTTCCTTTTTCGTCCGTTCCAATTAAAACTTCCACTTTCCCTTTTTGGTAAAGAATTTGTGGTTCACAATTTTTTTTACACATTTCTCTCTTCTCTGCACAACTCTCCACCACACAATATCCACTATTTTAAACTTTGTGCCAAACGCATTTGGAAGTTAAAATCGGAACGGAGGTAGTATATTATATTATATTATACGCTTATACATACTTACACGTTTTTTAAAGATCTGCTTTTTTGTCCAATAAATTTTTGACCATACTTGATAAAACACTTTGGTATTAAACTTCTTTGAACTAACTAGGTTTGGGAGAGCCAATCTTTGGCTCGCACTCGAACTCAAAGCCGAGCATCTTTTCCAAACTTGAACAAAAAGCAATAAGCTCATTAGAGGCAGTATATTTTGTGGCACACTCAACTTGGAGTTGGATTTTTCAGCGTTCGCTACGGTTCTGCCAGTGTCTTCTCCTATTTACTAGGCTCCAAGGTACACATGAATTATCTCTGGAGTGATTACTCTGCATTCTTTTGATCTTTTCTCTTGTCATCGACTGCCTAAAGTATTTTCCTTGATTTGTTGAAATTCCAATATAATCGAGCACTTCTCCTTTTCTCCTGGACTACGAACACCCATTTCCATTAAAGACCATGGTTTATGCTTTTTTCCCATTTTCAGTGTGACGGCTTAGGATTTCGGTCTTGAGCTAAACTAAAGGCGCTGTGTCTCAGTACCTTATCTTTTAGGAAGATTTGCTAAATAGTGTAAATTGTACTCGGTAAAAGACAACACATTTTATTTCTTTCCCGAAATTGGACTCTCCTCTCCTATAAAAGAAATTTTAACTTCTCTTATTCTATGTTAGGGTTAAGGATGTGTTGCGTTCTAGGATTGTAATCGAAGAACGTGAGGCGGTCTAGGAATTCTTAAAGTAAAAGAAGATATTGAACTTGAAAAGAGAAGTTTTATTGCTCAGAGAAGATGACAGATTACAGTGTTGATCAGCTACCAACTAATACTTGCATACGTAATTATATATTGAACAGATTACAGTAGAGCTTTGTTATAACCAACTAAGTGCAGCTAATTAACGGTTAACTGATTAACCGTGTGATTACAATGCGTGCTAGAGTATTAACAACACATTGGATCACTGAGGTGTCCTGCTGACGTGGTAGCTGTCGTGGCAGTTTCTTGACAGGATGTTTTTAATTGGATGAAATTTTCTACAATAAAAAACTTTGATGCAATTTTCTTGTCTGGTCTGATTTGGTAGATCTCTGGTCTATATGTATTTTACAATGTCTGGCCTTGTTTGATCTTGTCTGTTTAAATCTAGTTTGTTTAATTCTAATGTAGCACTAACACCCATCCAATTAAAAGCACCCTAAAGTCTTATTTTGGGAATAAAATATAATTAGTCATATTTATTAACTTTGTGCATGTTTTGCTTGTATATACAACAAATTCTTCAACTTTATTTTACCACTTTGTGCATGTTTTGCTTGTATAAATTATTTTATACAACTATTACCACTATTATTTTTAACATATGTACATTTGCGCGAGCACACACACATAAGTTCATTTATTTTTAGTATTAATATTTCAAATATGACTATTTTATTTGTTTTAAAAAATGATACTCCATATAAAATAGCAAAAATATTCATAGATATGACTATTTTATTAGTATTTATATTTTAAATATGACTATTTTATTAGCTTTTTTAAAATTATACTCCATATAAAATAGCAAAAATATTCATAAATGATATTTTAAATATGACCTTTTTATTAGTTGTTTTTTTAAATTATACCCCATATAATATACCAAAACTTATTAAATTAGAAGAATAAAGTTATGTCATACCTCTATACTTTTAAATTCATATTCTTAATAAACATTTTATGTCTTAATTTAGCTAATGACAAACAGTTAAACTATTAACATTTTACTTTAAACGCTAATGAAAGTGGTTGGTTAAAACAGCTAACAGAATCCTCTAGTATTAATTTGCCGATTCAGGATGTTTTTACTTGGATTGAAATTTGCTGGTCTGGTTTGGTCTGTTTAAGTTAGGTCTGGTCCGTCTGGTCTGAATCGGTCTGGTCTTGTAAACGTCTGGTCTCTGTGTATTTTATAACTAAGAAATTCAAATCTGGTCTGTTTAAGTCTGGTCTGATCTGTTTAAGTCTGGTCTAGTCTGGTTTTGGACTGAAAACAGTCCAAGTAAAAACATCCTCAAGAGGCTATGAGCTAGCAAGCTAGCAACCAATTGCTGATAGTCAAACACCATATTGATATTTTTAATCCTCCACTTTTCATGACGATATCAAATTAGAAGGCCTGAAAATGCCAATTTTACAATACTGTGAGGATTAAATAAAAGTCCTCCAGACCAGACTAGACCAGACTTAAACAGACCAGACCAGACTAAAGTCGATGACTAAAAGTGTGTCGCTCACAAAAAATGACCAATATGTCACCGGAGCTTTATTTTTTTTACCAATTTGTCGTCGGAGCTTTTTTTATCAATATGTCGCCGGAGGTTTTTTTTTACCAATTTGGTAAAGCACCCTTTTTTTTACCAATTTGGTAATTTGGTCACTTTTGAAGTATTGAGTACTGCTTTTTGTTGTTAATCCAGCACTCCCTTCGTTCTCTAATAACTGTCCTCTTAGGTTTTCACAGTTTTTAAGAAGGAAATACTACGGGTAATATAGAGGGTGTAGAGTAAATGAAAAAAAGGTAGGAAAAGAGTATATTGAGAAGAGAAAAGTAATGAAAAAGTAGGAGAGAAAATAGTTTGTAAAATGTAAAAAAGGCAAGAGTAATAAAAGCGAGGGTATAAAGGTATTTTGATAGGAAAAACTTATTAAAAGGGGAAAGAGAGTCAAGTAATAAAAAAACATCCCAAAAAGGAATACAAGACAATATTAGAGACAGAGGGAGTATTTCAGTCAAGTGATTCTTAAAGTGAAAATATTTATTTATACATTTGGAATAAACATTACTATTCAGATCTTCTCTTCAAGTTGAACGGTAATTCTTAAAGGAATCCATATTTCTGCATTTTACATATTTCTCTATGAATTACTGTGAATGGCGTTGCCTTTTCTGAGTAGCTGGTAAAGGCATCTGCAAACTCAAAAAGTCTAAGATATTTTGACATGAGTTGATAATATGAAGACAACCTGGAGGTGTACGCACTACGTACAGCATAATTTTCTTCTACATAAGGATGCATATATATCTCTGTTTGGCATTTGTTACTGATATCAATAAAGTTGTGAACAGTTTTGTTATCAAAACCATTCAATCGTTGTCTTTGCGCACATCATTCCCTGATATATGCTATTTTTGAAGCCGTCTGAGGTTGTCTTGGCCTCATATGCGTTCAGATTTCAGAATATGCCTAAAATTCTAATGCCTCCAGATAATGGAGAAGAAACGATGGCAAGGGATGGCTGATTCTGAATAAAACTTACCATGTAGACATTTTTCCTTTTCTTTCTTTCTTTCTTTCTTATTACGTTCATCTCTTTTCACTTCTCTTCTACTTCTAGTTGAAATCGTTGAGCTGATTTACCAATTCCCTCACTTCTATTTTTACTATTTTTGTTCTCATGTTTCTAATTTCGATTGACTATATTCTACCCATGTAATAATAATTAAACCTTGCATTATTATTATCGTTATTGTAATTATTAAATCACCTTTTTTATGTCAAGTCGCTCAATGGTCGAGGCCATTCACTTTATTAGGCAACTTGTGGATAAGTAATGACATACGAACAAATACCTACATTTGATGTTCATTAGCTTAGAAAAGGCTATGAGAGGGTACCTCGAGAAGCCTTTTTAGTGGAACATTAACTAGAAATTTACATATCATTACAATTGTTTGTGCTAGTATAAAGAGGAGGACAACATAGTTCCCTATTAATATCGGAGTGTATCAAGGATCGGCTCCAAGCCCCTTCTAATTTGCAATAGTCATGGATGAACACACGAAGTCAATTCAAAAACAGATACCATGGCACATGATGTTTGTAGATGATATTGTGTTGATTGATGATACAAGATTAAGTGTTAAAGAACTTTGTAACTATGGCGACAATCCTTGAAGAGCTAGGGTTTCGGGCTGACTTGAGGCAAAAGCGAGTTTATTTATTAAAAGTTTAGGGAAGGTAGAAACAATGGTAACACCGTATCACTCAGATTATTTTGGATGATAAGACGATCACGGTCAGTGATGTGTTTACGTTACCCAAGTTCCATAATTCAGGACAGTGGATTAGATTGAGACGTGTCCCATCAAATCAAAACGGGGTGGATGAAATGGAAGAGTGTGCCGGGATTTCTATGTAGTCGAGGTATGCCAACTAGACTGAACGGTAAGGTTTGTCAAACCGCAAATAGGCTTGCTTTGTTCTATGGCTGGACAGATTAGAAGAAAAGAGTAAAAGGCCATAAGCGAAAAGTGGGATGAGTGTGAGGAGGAAAGCTAGACAGATGTGAAATAGATTGGTCAAGAATGATATCGTACTTCTTTGGTCAGATGAGAGTGACTTTAGATAGTGCAAAGTCAAGGGAGAGTATATGTGTGGGGGGTTGATCTGATTTTGTTTCTCTTTTTTTAGTTATTGTTTTAACTCCGATTTCACATGTCGGTTCATGTTTGCCGACTACAAACTCTTTTGGGATGAATGTTGTATTATTATTACTATTACTCCGTATATATTCATACCATCATTGGGTCTAAGACCGAAGCCCATTTAAGTTTTGCCCAAAAATTGGGTCTTAGACCGAAGCCCATTTAACAATTAAACCATCATACTTTCTCCTCTTTTCAATTTGATTTTCAGTTGAAATTTATAAACATTTAAATATTTAAGAATATTCGATTTAACAACCTTGGTTTTTAGTTTTTCATTATTAGTTTATGCTTTCTTAGCTAATGGTAGCTACAGAATATATTTTTACTGATAATGCATTTAGTGACTCACAAAGTAAATTTTTATTCATGAGTCAAAGAGTAGGTCAACCGAATTTGGATTCAAATCTCAATTCAGATACCTTCTTTTGGTGCTAAATTCAAATACTCTTAACTATAAGTTTGTAAATTATTGAGGTTAAGGCTAAGGCCAACTGCCTTCTGGCTTGCCTTTCAAAACCTGCTCATACATAATGTGACTATGGATACTGCAGGTTCTTTTCAAATATATTTTTATTCATGGATCCTCAATTGACTGGTTTTCCCGACTTATTAAGCACATTTGAGCAACAAGATGAGTTTTTGTTTTCTAGCACCTTCCAGCGATCTCAAGGTATTCCTTAAAATTACTTGGATGGCTCTTTAACTGTTCTGCATTCCACGGGTGACCCTTTGAGTACACCCAGTCCCTACCATGGCTATTTTGTTCAATCTGCAGAGTTGGACTCACCAGAAGACCGTGATGCTGATCCTGTTTTCAAGTTCCTTAATGAGATACTGTTGGAGGAGAACATTGATGAGAAGCCGAGTATGTCCCATGATCCAGTTGCTCTTGAAGCAGCTGAGAAATACTTCTACGAAGCCCTTGATCAGAACCCTCCTTCCACTTATGGATCCCATATTAGCCACAACAATACAGAAAGCTTGAAGAGCATGCATGACATTTCCAGTGGGCCTCTTCAGCTGACTGTTGATCCTGGACGATCTAAATCATCTTTTGCAATTCCTTCTCCTGAACCGTCTTTTCGTTCTTCTTTCCAGACCACATCATCTGAAAGTTCAATTTTTTCTTTAAATGGCTATAGGAGTAGTACGGATATCCAAGTGGACTCTATGTTGAGTTCTAGCAAGCTTGGAAATATATTTAGTGATACAGAAGCCATACTACAGTTCAAGAAAGGCATGGAGGAAGTGAGTCAATTCCTCCCTGCTACTAATCAATTGGTCATTGATTTAGATAACTACTTATTGCCTCCAAAAACAGATGAGATGCCTAATGATACATTCATCAAGGTAGAGAATACTAGTATGGACAGTTCATTTAATAAATCTTTGAGAAGAATGAACCATCAGCATCCTGATCCTGATAACAATGAGTTTGAAGAAGAGAGGAGCAGCAAGCAATCTGCAGTTTATGTGGAAGAGGAGTTATCAGAGATGTTTGATAATGTATTGCTGTGTGATCCTATTGAGTGTCGGATGAATATTCTACCTCCATCCGAAGTTGGCAACGACCAGCCGCATAATGCGCCGAAGGGTGCAGGTCTTCAAGCTTTACCTGAAACAGTTGGAAATAAAAAAAGGCGTCCAAAGAAGCAGCAGCAGGAAGGTACAACAAGTGAAGCTGTGGACCTAGGGACTCTTCTAATTGGCTGTGCACAATCGATTGCTGCTGATGATCGCAAGTCTGCATATGAACAATTACGAGTGATCTGGAAGCACTGCTCGCTCAACGGTGATGCAAACCAGAGGCTGGCATACATACTGGCAAATGGTCTTGAGGCACGTTTGGCGGGCACGGGGACTCAGCTGTATGCATCCCGACCTCCTAAAAGGATCACAGCTTATGAGAAGTTGAAAGCATATCAGGTTTACATGTCAGCTTGCCCGTTTAAGAAGATAGCACTAGCTGTTGGAAATAAAATGATTTATATGGTGTCATTGGAAGCTAAAGCACTACATATCATAGATTTTGGTATTGAATATGGTTTCCAATGGCCCGTCCTCATCCAACATCTTTCAATCAGGCCTGGTGGGCCTCCTAAACTGCGCATTACTGGAATTGATCTTCCTCAATCAGGTTTTCGGCCTGCGGAATTAATAGAAGACACTGGGCGTCGCCTGGCAAAGTATTGTGAGCGGTTTGGTGTGCCATTTGAGTACAATGCTATAGCCAACCGGAATTGGGAGACGATGAAAGTTGAAGATTTGAAGCTTGTCAGAGGCGAGATGGTTGCCGTGAATTGCTCTTATAGGTTAAAATGCCTGCTTGATGAATCAGTTTTGGTGGACAGTCCCCGTGATGCAGTTCTAAACCTAATCCGCAAATTGAACCCATCTATTTTTGTGCACTCTGTTTCAAATGGGTCTTATAGTTCTCCCTTCTTTGTTGCTCGGTTCCGAGAAACTCTCTTCCACTACTCTTCTTTTTTTGATTTTTTTGACAGCACATTACCCCGTGACGATCAGCAGAGGTTTCTTTTCGAGCAAGAGTTCTTTGGGCGTGAGGCTTTGAATGTGATTGCATGTGAGGGGACAGAGAGGATCGTGAGGCCTGAAACGTACAAGCAATGGCAGGTGAGGACTGTGAGGGCTGGGTTCAAGCCTCTTGTACTGGACCCAGATATTATGCTGAGGATGGGAAAAAAGATCAAGGCAGGGTACCACGAAGACTTTATGTTGGGTAAGGATGGCAATTGGATGTTGCAGGGTTGGAAGGGGCGGATTCTGTATGCTTGCTCGTTTTGGGAACCTTTGTAGAAATATCTGAACTATGTCTCTTCCACATAGCTACTTGACAACTTGTTATACGAGGAGATCTCGTTTAGTAGCTATTTGTTATTTGAGTGAACCTTCTTATATATCAAATCAAACAGGCCAACACTGTGGTTTTATACCTGACCTGGAGTTGCTTTCGATGGTAATCTGAACAATAGCTTGATGAAAAGTCGGACTTGGTCATGAAACTTTTGTTAGCTCAGCTGACTTTTTTCATGATAGTATGATATGTTTGATTGATGTACAAATAATCTATTTAAAGAGAATGGTGTGTGCGTTTGAGTTCACTTAGATAAGCTTCTGAATTTTTAGTCACTTGGTATTGAATTTACCCGTGTGTGTTGAATAGGAGGCCGGGGGGGCATTATCAGTGAAGAACTGGTTATATATGGTGTTTGATACCATTAAAAGCACAGTTTGATCACTTCATGTTAGAAATGTATTTACTGATGCTAGCCTCTGACTCTCAGTTTGAGCAACAACGCAATCTTCACTCCATAATCTTGAGTCTTTATTCAATAATCTGTTTTTATTCGCTTCCTCCTAAATATATGTATGCTGAATTAGAACTTGAACCTCAGTTTGTAAACCTTCTTTTGGTGCCAAATTCAAATATTCTCTAGCTTAAAGTCTCATAAATTATCAGAAGTGCATACGTGAATGGTTTCTCAATAAACCTATTAATTTCTAACATTCAAATTCTTCATATTATCCTATACCTTCATATTGACCTATTGGTGTGACTTTTTCCTTTCTTTTACAGTATTATTATGTGTGTGATATCTTCTAGGATGGATTATCTATTTTTTGCATATTTTTTAAACTTACTCCCTCCGTCCCTAATAACTTTGCCAAATTTGACCGGCACGGAAATTCATAAAGTAAAAACTGTGTGGTTGAGGTTTGTGCAGAGGAGAGAGAATTAACTGGAACCACAAATTCTTTACTTAAAAGGGAAAGTGGCAAAGTTAATGGGACATCCAAAAAAGGAGAGTTGGCAAAGTTATAAGGGACGGAGGGAGTATTTTAATTAACAATTTGAGGTTCACGTCTTGTCAAGCCTCCAGGCGTATGCCTCATGAGGCTAAGGCCAACCGCCTCAAGGTCCACTATCGCATTTCATAATGTTGCTCATACACATTTTGACTATGGATGCTGCAGGTTCTTTTCACATCTATGTTTATTTATGGATCCTCAATTGACTGGGTTGCCTGACTCTGTCGGTGCATTCGAGCAGCATGATGAGTCCTTTTTCTCTAGCACCTTTCGGCAATCACAAGATATTACTTACAATTACGTGAACGACTCTTTATCTGTTCTGGATTTCACGGGTGACCCTTTGAGTACACCCAGTCCCTACAATGGCTATTTCGCTCCTGCTGCAGAGTTGGAGTCACCAGAGAATCACGACTCTGATCCTGTTCTTAAGTTCCTCAACCAGATACTATTGGAGGAGAATATCAATGAGAAGCCGGGTATGTTCCATGATCCAATTGCTCTTGAAGCTGCTGAGAAATATTTCTCTGAAGCCCTTGATAAAAACCCTCCTCATGAAACCTGCGTTAGCAATAAAAACACAGAAAGCTCTGACAGCATGTACCGCCATTCCAGTGAACCACCCCAGTGGTCTGTTGAATCTCTACAATTATCTTTATTTACTCCTTCAGAACCGTCTTTCCAATCCTCTTCTCTGTTCTTCTCTGAGAGTTCAAATGCTTCTAAAAGTTTGAATGAGAGTAGTCTGAATGTCCAAGTGGGCTCTAGCGAGCTTGGAAATATCTTTAGTGATACAGAAGCCAAACTGCAGTTCAAGAGAGGAATGGAAGAAGCGGCCAAATTCCTCCCCGCTACTAATCAGTTTGTTGATTTGGATAAATACTCAATTCCTCAAAAAAACGGTAGTTTGCCTAATAAAACCATCATCGAGGACAACTTACTTGATCATTCTTCTAGGAGAAAGAATCATCACCATCCTGATAGCAATGAGCTTGAAGAAGAGAGGAGCAGCAAACAAACTGCAGTTTATGTGGAAGAGGAGTTAACTGAGACATTTGATAATGTTTTGCTTATTGATCCTAATGAGTGTTGCATTAATGTTGCTCCAATTGGTAACAAACTGCCTCAAAACACGCTGAATGGTGGGGGTGTACCACATAATGGTGGTCCTGCTGGTAAAAGACATGCAAAGAAGAAGCTGCAGGGAGATACAACCGGTGACGCTGTAGACTTGAGGACTCTTCTAATTGGCTGTGCACAATCTGTTGCTGATGATCACCGCAAGTCTGCAAATGAACAGTTGACACAGATCCGGAAGCATAGTTCGCTCAACGGTGATGCGAATCAGAGGTTGGCATATATATTGGCAAATGGTCTTGAGGCACGTTTGGCTGGCATGGGGACTCAGCTCTATACGTCCCGAGCCCCTAAAAGGATCACAGCTGTTGAGAAGTTGAAAGCATATCAGGTTTACATGTCAGCTTGTCCGTTCAAGAAGGTGTCAATTGGCTTCACAAATAAAATGATTTATGTGGTGTCATTGGAAGCTAAAGCGCTACATCTCATTGATTTTGGTATAGAGTATGGTTTCCAGTGGCCTGCTCTAATCCAATATCTTTCAATTCGGCCTGGTGGGCCTCCTAATCTTCGCATTACAGGAATTGATCTGCCTCAACCGGGTTTCCGGCCAGTGGAATTGATGCAAGAGACTGGACGACGCCTGGCAAAATATTGTGAGCGATTTGGCGTGCCATTTGAGTACAACACAATAGCAACTCGGAAGTGGGAGACAATTAAAGTTGAAGATTTGAAGCTCGTTAGAGGTGAGATGGTTGCTGTGAACTGCTCTTATAGGTTAAGAGACCTGCTTGATGAAACAGTGATGGTGGACAGTCCTCGTGATGCAGTCCTAAGCCTAATCCGTAAACTGAACCCAAGTATTTTTGTGCACACTGTTGCTAATGGGTCTTATAGCTCTCCATTCTTTGTTAACCGGTTCCGAGAAGCTATCTTCTATTACTCTGCATTCTTTGATATTTTCGACAATACATTACCCCGTAACGATGAACAGAGGTTTCTCTTTGAGCAAGAATTCTATGGGCTTGAGTCGTTGAATGTGATTGCATGTGAGGGGGAAGAGAGGATTGTGAGGCCTGAAACGTACAAGCAGTGGCAAGTGAGGACTATAAGGGCTGGGTTCAATCCTCTTCCACTGAACCCAGAGTTGATGATTAAGATTGCAAAAATTAAGGAAGGGTACCACAAATGCTTTATGTTGGATGAAGATGGTAATTGGATGGTGCAGGGGTGGAAGGGGCGTATTCTGTGTGCTAGTTCTTGCTGGGTACCTAGTTAGCGCTTCCCTTGTAAAGAAGCAAGCTAACTGGTGGTGGTGATCACGCTTCCATTGCTTCTTGTCATTTGAGTGTTAACCTTCTATATTCCACATTATCAGGCCTCCACTGGATGGTAGCATTGAATAAAGGCTTGATAAAAACATGATATGGTCGTTGTGAATCTTTTGTTGCTTCAGCTAGCTTGTTTCATAGATATGTTTGCTGTAATGCATCTATTTACAGAGCATCACGTGTCTGCTGAATTTGTATTCTCTTCTACTCACTTGGTATTGGATTCACATGTACTTTGTTTAAGATCATTTTCATTTATGTATTGGAATTGTATAATATGAAGAAAAACAGCAATTCTCTACTCCAAACATAGACCTAAAGAATGGAATCACAGATGCATATCATATCCAGGGACAAAGTGAGTGGGACAAATTATTTCTGAACTATATCTTCTTTAGAGCGCTAGAAGTCATAGTTAGTTGCAGTCTCTACTTTAACTATTGTACCATCCGTTAAGAGTGTGCTGTTTTAATGGCTCTTTTGGTGAGTTACGCAAACATAGATGGTGGACGCTAGGTCATAAAGTCAATATTTCTATAAATAAATAAAAGGTACAAAAATGACTTTTCCCTAAATATCACTTACGGAGTATGTAAAACTTATGAATAAAAAAGTAGCTAAAGTTACTATGACGAAAGCGTCATGGTTACGTACTATAGTGTAATATTGAATATAATTATGATTATTAAAGTTAGCATTACAATAACCAAGTATAGAAGTTTCATTTTTGTGGAGCCTACATTTTATTTGTCGACTTTCCTGAAGTATATTCTTCATTGATTATCCTAAAAACAAAACTCCTTACTCCCCTAGTGCATTATTATGGATAATAAAGAGCAAACAAGCTCTTGTATTCCACTATGCACTCTACTTCACATTGTCATTCTCTTGTGGCTTCGAGTTAAACTTACAGCTCCATGTTAATGTATTCCTGATTTGGAGAGATCCTTTTAGCAGTATGTCCCTAGTTGGATAACTTTGATTTAAATTTTCTTACTTTGTTACTCTAACTATTTGCTGATTCGTTGTTTGCAATGCCAAATTGAATGTCTATTTCTCAAAGATGTTTTTTCATCAGTAAAGGACCGTTTTGAACCAGCAAGAAAAGAATAAGAAGACTCCTATGTATGCTGTGGACAAATGCTTTCCCTGCTTGGTTCATTTGTTTCAGATTGGAGTTCATTTTGTAATGCAATTGGTGCATTAAACCCATGTAATGGAGTTCATTTTGTAATGCAATTGGAGTTCATTTTGTAATGCAATTGTAGAGTGTGTTTTTATTTCAAAATGGTTATGTTTTGCTTATAATTTATTATTAGTCCACCACTCCAGTACTGCGCCATATCCCTTATAATACTTATTGGGTGTTATGAGTTATGACCAACACCCAATCTGCAATTCACTAGTCTGTAAATCTGTAATCTATGAACATGCATGCATGCCTCCATTTGTACCCTTCCGCAAATAATTCCGCATAATTTGATTTCCTAGTTGTCTCTTTGTCTCTAGAATTTTTCTTTTTTAGATATTATTATTATTATTATTATTATTATTATTATTTTTATTATAATTATTGAAAGGCATTTTATTAGGATAAGAAAAGTTGAAGATTACAAATGACAAGTAGGGAGCATTTTATTATTATTATTATTATTATTATTATTATTATTATTATTACTATTATTATTATTATTATTATTATTATTATTATTATTGTTGTTGTTGTTGTTGTTGTTGCTGCTGCTGTCGTTGTCGTTGTCGCTGTTGCTGTCGTCGTCGTTGTTGTTGTTGTTGTTGTTGTTGTTATGAGATGGTTATAGATTTGGTTAACAACTCAGTGCCTCCAAAGACAGACGAGATGAACAATTCACATAATATATCTTCTAGAAGATTGAAGCATCACCACTCTGATAACAACGAGAATGAGGAAGAGAGAAACAACAAGCAATCTGCAGTTTATGCGGGAGATGAGTTATCAAAGATGTTTGATAATGTTATGCTTCTTGATCTTGACGAGTGTCGCAGGAATGTTGCTGAATGTGGTAACAGCCTGCCACAAGATGTGCTGAATGGTGAGGGTATGCCACACAATGGTGGTAAAAGGCGCACAAAGAAGAAGCAGGGAAATAGAAGTGAACTTGTAGACTTTACAACTCTTCTAACCCCGTTGTGCACAATCAGTTGCTGCTGATGATCGCAAGTCTGCAAATGAACAACTGAAACAGATCCAAATGCACAATTCACTTAAAGGTGATTGGAATCAGAGACTGACCTATGCATTGGCAAATGGTCTTGAGGCACGTTTGGCTGGCTTTAGGACCCAGCCCTATACATCCCAAGTCCCCAAAATGATTACAAGTTTTGAAAAGCTGAGTGCATATTAGGTTTATATGTCAGCATGCCCATTTGAGGAGATGTCAATAGGCTTAAGAAATAAAATGATTTTCATGAAGTCATTGGAAGCTCAAATTCTACATGTCATTGATTTTGGCATCGAGTATGGATTCCAATGGCCTTGTCTTATCCAACATCTATCAATCCGGCCTGGTGGACCTCCTAAATTTCGCGTTACCAAAATCGAGCTTCCTCAACCAGGTTTTCGGCCAGCGGAACTGATTGAAGAGACTAGCCGCTGTCTGGGAAGTCATTGTGAGCGATTCCACGTGCCATTTGAGTACACTGCAATACCAACTCCAAATTGGGAGACACTTAAAGTTGAAGACTTAAAGCTCGTTAGAGGTGAGATAGTTGTTGTGAAGTGCTCATATAGGTTACAAAACCTGCTTCATGTAACAGTGATGGGGGCCAGTCCTCGTGATGCAGTACTCGAGCTAATCCATAAACTGAACCCAAGTGTTTTTGTGCACAGTGTTGTTAATGGGTCTTATAGTGCTCCATTCTTTGTCACCCGGTTCCGAGAAGCTCTCTTCTATCACTCTTCAGTTTTTTGATATTTTTGAGAATATATTACCACATGACGGTGAGGAGAGGTTTCTCTTTGAGGAAGAAATCCATGGGCGCGAGTCATTGAATGTGATTGCATGCGAGGGGGGAAGAGAGGATTATAATCGGGAAAATGAGGAACTATGAGGGCTGGGTTCAAAATTCTTCCAGTGATGCCAGTGATAATGATCAAAATCGGGAAAAAGTTGAAAGCAAGGTACCACACAAACTTTATGTTGGAGGAAGATGGGAATTGGATGTTGCAGGGGTGGAAGGGGCGGATTCTATGTGCAAGTTCATGTTGGGTACCTAGTTAGTTTTTCCTCGTAAACATGCAAAGCAAGGTGGAGATGGCGATCAACCTTCCATTGCTTCTTGACATTTGAGTATGAAAAAAATTGGATGTTTTTTTTACTATTTTTTGGCTTAAGAATATGATGGAATAAAGCAAAGTGACTCATTAAACTGTTTGCGCTTCTTTTTTATGAAGCACCAGTCAGTCCCTGCAATTTTTGACGCGATTTTCACCATGAGTAATCCGGAAACAGTCTCTATGTGATTTAGTACATAGGTAAGGCTACGTACATCCGACCCCCCTTACCCCACCATAGGTGGGAGCCTTTTCGGCACTGGGGTAATGATAATGACGATGAGTATGAACAGTCTAAATTTCACATAATACTGACATGAAACTGGCTGGTCTGGCTGTGTTTTTCTCTATATGTTAGAACATTATTCATTGCTGATTTTCTGTCTGTCTGTGACTCTTTGTTTGAGAAACAATACAATCTTCACTCCATAGTCCCAAGTTTGAATTGTACAGTGCATTTTATTGCATCACTGCATTTTACTTGTGTTCGAATTTCATGAAGTTACCGTGATGGAAAAGGGCATTGCAACCTGAAGAAGAATGTAAAAGAACCAATACCTGAACAACACACTATAGTTCCTTCCCAAAAACTAGGGAAAAAACCACGGGACCATTTTGGCCGCTTAAATCAACTATCATCATCAAAGGAGCAATACAAAGTCTTGTCTACATAATACTAGAGGCATACAAAATCATCATATCCTTGGAACTAAGCACATCAAGGTGTATGGAATCAAAGTAGAGCCAAGATAAGAAAAATATCACCAGAAAAATAGCTACTGTCCAGACTAACGAAACCCGACCTCCGGACCTCAAAACCATATCTCCACCGTCCAGAATGTTGGCCCAGATGCTTTGTAGCTTCTGTCAAAAAATCTAGACGATTCAACAGTTCAATCTCCGGGAAACGGAACTTTTCTGCTGCTGCCTACTGAAAAACGGGATGAGCTTCAGCTCATGTTTTTGTGACTTGTGCTCTCTCAAATCCTTTGCTCTCTTTTTGTCCTTATGCTTGAGATAGTGACTGACCCCTTTTTAATTAGAAGCTCCCAAAATAGAAAGTCCAAATGAGACTTTAATGGGCTCAATAGTTGGGCTTTCCTCATGGGTCAAAAACAAAGAAAGAACCCAACAAATCTCCCCCTTTTTGACTTATGAGAAAGAGTTCACCATACCGGCGATGGAGCAACATACCTTTAACTTTTCCCTTACTAGAACCTTTGTCAACATATCAGCACCATTATGATCGGTATGAACTTTATCAAGTTCAAACAGTTTGTCTTCAAGTGCATCTTTAATCCAATGATACCTCACATCAATATGTTTGGTTTGTTTGTGAAACATAGAATTTTTAGCAAGATGAATAGTACTTTGATTATCACAAAGAACCATGTAGCGCTGTTGCATAAAGTCAATCTCTTGCATAAATCTTTTGATCCATAATAGCTCCTTGCACGCTTCTGTTACAACCACATACTCAGCCTCGGTAGTGGATAAAACCACACACTTTTGCAGTCTCGATTGCCATGACACAGCTCCCCCTGCAAAAGTCATCAAATATCCAAAAGTGGATTTCATGTTATCCTTATTTCCTGCCATATCAGAACCAGTATAACCAACAAGTACTGGCTTCTCATTTCCAAACGTTATACCCAATTTGGAAGTATCACGTAAATATCTGAGAATCCACTTCACTGCTTTCCAATGCTTCTTACTTGGGTTTGACAGAAAACGACTAACAACACCTACTGCATGAGCAATATCAGGCCGTGTGCATACCGTATACATCAAGCTCCCTACAACTGAGGCATAAGGGACTCTATCCATCTTTTCAATCTTCTTCTCAGAAGATGGACAATCTTTATCTGTCAACCTGAAGTTGGTAGTAAGAGGAGAACTAACCTGTTTAGCTTTATCCATGTTAAATATGCGAAGCACCTTCTCGATGTATTGCTCCTGTGACATGTGTAGCTTCTTCAAAGCTCTATCTCGA